GTGAGTTTGGCATCGTTACAGTTCCCATTTTATACATGAGGAAATTGAGGCAGAGGAAACAAAGGTTAGAAAACTTGCCTGGGGTTACAGAGTGAGGAAGGAGTGGAGCCAGTTTGGGGCTGGTAGGTGGAGTGGTGGTTAAGGGCACTAGACCTCCACATGGTTGACTGTAGTTCAAGTCCTGGACCGAGGGACTTGCTTTCTCACATTCTCTCTTTCTATCTGTGCCTCTCTGAACAAATTAGAAAAAATAAATAAATAAATAAAGTTAAATAAAATAATTCTTAAAAAACAAACAAATTCAGGCACTTTGATTCTGGAGTCTGTAATTTTTATTTTTATTTTTAAAAATTTATTTGACAAGAGAGGGACAGAGTGAGAGAGAGAGAGAAGGAAAGTAGGAAAGCAAGCCGCCAGGTCTGGGACTCAAACCATGGTCGGCCACGTGGGAGTCCAGTGCCATTAACCACCATGCCACCTGCTGGCTCCTCTGGAGTCTGTAATTTTAACTACAATATATAGCCATAGTAAATATAGTTATTATATACTTCGTATATTATGCTATATAATGACTGTAAGTACTATATTATTATTTTTAAGAACTTTCTGTTCAACTTTTATTTATTATTGTTTTTCTAATTTGATGAGAGAAAGGGAAAGTGAAAAAGCAAGCCACAGGCCCAGGGCTTGAACAGTAGTTGGCCATTTGGGAGTCCAGCACCTCAAGCACCACACCACCTACCAGTCCCTGTAATGCTTTTAAGTAAGTACAAGTCCAAGAATTTTGAAACAAGTTTGTATTATGCGACATTAGAATGATTGTTTTTTGGGGCCAGCAAACAGTATAGTGGTTAAAGTGCTGGTTTCCCACATGATCAACTGCTGTTTGAGCCCCAGACCTGGCAGCTTAAAAATCACACTAGGCATGTGTGTTCATGAGGAGAGTGAAAGAGAAAGGATTATGGCATGACTATCCTCCCAGGGGAGAGATTTCCCACTTTCTCTCTCACGATCTATCTCTGTCCCTTTCCAGTGCATGCATGTGCCCTCTGGCAAAAATTTAAAAAAAAAAATCATCTTTCATTGTTATTCAATTCTTTCTTAGGTTTCTGTAGTTTACAACTCATTAGACTTTGAACCAGAGATTTTCTTTGCCTTGGGATCTCCAATTGGTATGTTTCTCACTATTCGAGGAGTGGATAGGATAGATGAGAACTATAAGCTTCCTACCTGTAAAGGATTCTTCAATATTTATCATCCGGTGAGTGAACTGAATTTACTTCCTATTTTGAAGAAGATGAAGAACCTTTCATTTATAGCCTAATAGATTGTCAGGTTCTTGTTTTTTGGGAATTAATATCAATCTTGATTTTGTATGACTTAGCTATTTGTCCTAAGAGATAGAATCTGGTACTTTCCAATAAACTTTCCTAACAAAAAAGCCTTTGTTCAAGGAAGTAATTTTATTGCTTTGCTTGCAATGTAATTTTACACGCAGACTTGAAAATCTTATAATTACCAGTATTAGAATAAAATGTGGAAAAAAAAAATCAGTCTCTAGTTTGCCAGTTATATTTTCTTACCCTGCACAGATAAATAACTCCAAATAAAACAACTTTTCATAAATGTTCAATTCTTCTGTTTACAGCTTGATCCAGTGGCATATAGATTAGAACCTATGATTGTTCCAGATTTAGACTTAAAAGCAGTTCTCATTCCACATCACAAAGGCAGAAAAAGACTTCATTTAGGTAAAAAAGCAAATACTGTAAAAATGTGTTTCCTTCCTGACATTTTGTAATCTGTAATGAGTTATGAAAATTTTAACACTATATCCTTATTGATAGAATTACTGTTTTTAAGTGCGTACAACTATTTAGAACGATTTTGCTAAGGATTTAGAGGAGACGAAAAAACATTATGAATGAGTTCCTCCTCCTTGAGGATGTACTAATTGCTGAGATTATTATGAATGGGGAGACGTCAGCAATGAGGTGGTAATACACTGTTTTAGTGTGTAGTGTTGCAAATAACAGCAATACCTGAACTTATAAGAATGGTCGTTTATTTAGCCCACGGTTTTGGAGGTCCAAGGTCAAGGGGCTGGCTGCATCTGGTGAGGGTCTTCTTGTTGATAGACAATAGTGGTGGGCATATCACATCTAAGAACAAGAGCTTGAGCAGAGCAGAACATGTGCCCATGTTTCTGTCTCATTTTGTCTGTGGGTAAACCCCATAGGATTTGGTCGTGAGGGCCTTACCCTGATGACCTGAATTCCGAGTTCCCCCCAAAGGCTTCACCTCTTAATTCCAAAACTAGATTAAGTTTTCACCCTCTCAACACCATTACAATGGCTCACCAAATTTCAATATGTGAATTTTTCAGGGGTACATTGAAATCAAAGAAGATACTTAATTAGATTTCAGTAGTTCGGTTATAATTTTTGGAATTGAGAAGAAGAGAAACATTTAAACAAATGATTAAACTATCAAGAAATAAATGTGCTATCATCTAAGTCAAGTTGCTTGCTAACTAGACAAACCTTTCCTATTAAAAAAGTTAAACATAGTAATTCCAAATGGGGTTTAAATTTGTCTTATACTTGTTTATGGTGCATGTTATTTATTCCTAGATTTAAAAGGGTAGGTGTGGGGCCATCTGGTGGCATAATTGTGTAGGCTAGATCTCACATGTCCAACTCATGGTTTAAGTCCCAGACCTGGTGGCTTGAGAAACATGCCAGGCATGTGTATGTGCATATTCAAAGTTCTGAGAGAAGGGATTGTGAGATACCATTCACCCTAGGGATGTTTTCTTACTTTCTCTTTCTCTCTTGCTCTTCCTGGCAAGCATGTTCATCCTATAGCAAGTTTAAAAAAAGTCGGGTTGAAGGCATGGGAGTTAGAAGAATAGAAGGAAAAGGTATCAAACCCTCTTATTTAAAAGGGCGGGTTTTGTTTGTTTTGCTAACATCTTGCTTTTTTTTTTTTGGAGATTTTTATTTTTTGCTATAGGGCGTGTGTGCTTGCCAGAGAGACAGAAAGCGAGAAACCACCCCCAGAGTGAATGGCCACATCACAATCCCTTCTCCTCCATTGTCCTTTTGGGATTTCGGACACACTCATATGCACCTGGTGTGAGTTTTAAGCTGCTGGATCTGGGACCTGAACCGTGATCAACTCTGTAGGAGTCCAGCGATGGAACCATTACGCCATCTGCTGGTTTCTGCCCAACATCTTGCTTTTTAAAAAGTTTAACTCTTTTGAAGCTAAGGTGAGAAATTTGATAATTCATAGACCTTGTATTTGAATATGACTATTAGGTAAGAATAGAAAATAATGAAGGAGCAGGGGCTTTTTCATTTTTAAATTAGGAGTTTATATTGTGGTTATATCAGAATATCAAAAAAATTCATTTTAGGGAACCAGCAGTTAGCGTAATGGCTATGTCGCTGGACTCCCACATAGTCGACCGCGGTTCGTGTCCCGGACCCGGTGGCTTAAAACTCACGCCGGGCGCATGTGCGTGCGTGCCCAAGATCCCGAGAGGAGAATGGAGGAGAAGGGATTGCGGCGTGACCATCCCCCCTGGGGGGTGATTTCTCGCTTTCTGTCTCTATGTCTCTCTCTGTCTGTCTGGCGAGCGCACGCACCCTACAGTGAAAATCTCTTAAAAAAAAAATTCATTTTAATTACTGGAGAGAGAAAGGGAGAGGGGAAGAGAGAAGTAGAGAAAGCACCCTTCAATGGGGAATAGTCATGTCGTAATCCCTTCTCCATGTCTTTATTCTGTTGAGATTTTGGGCATGCGTGCACATATGCCTGATGTGTTCCTCGGGCTGCTGAGGCCAGGATTCTAACCATGGTTGGCCATGTGGGATCCAGCTCCCTAACCTTCTAGGCTTCAGGATGGCCCCAGAATTTTTATTTAATTTTATTTTTGTTATTATTTATTATAGTACTTTTTAAAAAAATTTGGCAAAGGGTGTGTACACTCACTGGAGAGAAACAGAGCAGGGAGGGAATAGAATGAGAAAGCACTTCCCATGGCAGATGGTCATGCTATCATCCCATCTTCTCTGTTTCTACCACCTTTTGGGATTTTTGGGCATGCACACCCCTGGCACGTTTTTTTTCAATCTGCTGGGTTTAGTACTCATACCACATGGTTGGCCATGTCGGATCCAGATGTCATCATCACCACCACAGTTGACCTAGTTTTGTTTTGTTTTTTAATTGCTGGAGGGTGTGCACCCTTACCAGGAGAGAGAGGGAGGGAGAGGAAGAAAGCACCCCCCAATGAGGTGTGGTCATGTTTCAGTTCCTTCTTCATTTTTCTATCCGGTCAGCATTCAGGGCACAGACATGAATACATATACATCTGGTGTGTTTTTGAAGTCAACAGGGCTGGGATCTGGACTGTAGTTGGCCATGTGGAGTCCAGCTCCCTTAACTACCAGGCTATGGAGCCAAGAACCAATTTTTTTTTTTTTTTTTTTTTTGAGAGAGGAAAAATTTAGGTTTTGAATTGAGTTTAGTCTTTTGTTTTGAGAGAGATTTTTGCTATAGGGCATGTGCACTTGCCATAGAGACAGAGACAGAGAGTGAGAATACATCCCTTGGGGGAGGGCCACACCACAGTCCCTTCTGCCTTCTCCTTCATTCTCCTCTTGGGATTTTGGGCATGCATGTGCCCATGCGCCTGAGTTTTAAGCCGCTGGGTCTGGACCGTGAAATGCAGTTTACTGCGTGGGAGTCTAGCACTTTAACCACTGAACTACCTGCTGGTCCCAAGTTTAGTCTTAAAGAAAAAAAAAAAAAAAGAAAGAAACTGAGACTGTCCATAATATTTTAGCATGTTGTGGATTCCTGGCTAAGATACTCCATGTATTTGACATTTAAGTCTTACCTTGTCTGATGAGAGTGTTAACTTTTAATTTTTATGCTACACATTTTACTCAGTGACTAATTAATTTGGTGTTTCATCTTAATCTCTTTAGAGTTGAAAGAAAGTCTCTCTCGTATGGGATCTGATTTGAAGCAGGGCTTTATTAGCTCTCTGAAAAGTGCTTGGCAGACATTGAACGAGTTTGCCCGTGCTCATACTTCTTCAACTCAGTTGCAAGAAGAATTGGAGAAGGTAGCCAATCAAATCAAAGAAGAAGAAGAAAAGCAAGTAGTTGAAGGTAAATTTGACTTTGAAGCATTTTTCAATATAAACTTTTTTAGTAAACATAACACTGATAAGTTATTTAATGATACTTTGCCTTTCTACTATATTTAGTTAAATTTGAGAGGCTCTTTGTATAAAATTAAAATCTTTTACAATACTGGTATTGTCAAGTTTATTTTAAAATTGATATCTTTTTTTACTAGCTTTTTACCTGGTAGTTACTGAATTCTGCAGTTTTTACCATTTTTGTTGAGATTTTTAAGGCCAGAGTAGAATATCAAAGTTGAGGACAGAGTTTGTATTCAGATGTTTTTAAAGACTTGTCTTTCCTGGTATTGTCATATAATGTGCCATGATAGACTTCATATTCAATGTCAGGTCATTGTACCGTGATGTTTTTGACTTTTCCAGATTCTAATTCGATTTCCTTTCTTTCTACATTGCTTGCTTACTCCTTATCTTCACAACTTCTGTCATCCTGTTGGCTCTTTCTCCTCTCTCTATTCCCCTGGCTTTTTGGAGGAAAGGGGAGTGAACCTGGTAGCTACCCAGGTTGCTACGTGTGTCAAGCAGTATTCTCATTGAGCCCAGAAAGTCAGCTAAAGTCAAAGGATAATGGTTAAGTGATTGACTTTGATATTGAAATGGTTTAAATTCTAGCAGAAAAGATTGTTGAAAGTCCAGATTTTTCCAAGGATGAGGACTTCTTAGGGAAGGTTGGAATGTTAAACGGAGGCCGCAGAATTGACTACGTTCTTCAAGAAAAGCCAATAGAGAGTTTCAATGAATATCTTTTTGCTCTTCAGAGTCACTTATGCTATTGGTAAGTATTTTTAACTTTGATAACATGTGAGTGGCCTTAAGGTGCTAGTTCATATAGTAGTTTTAATTTTAGTATGATTTCTTCACTGATAGATCATTTGTTTTAGGGATATTAATTTGAACTTTCAAAATAAATTTTTTTTCCCCTTTAATTATCCACAAGATGGCAGTATGTCACCTGATTTTGACAAAGACCCTTTGTACTTGAACACTGTTTTAGTAGGGGTGCCTTTTACTCTGGGAGTAGTAGTGTATTTCAAAACCCGTTCTTTCATACATCCTTCTGGTACCAGGAAGAATTGCAAGATGACCAATTTGGAGCTGATTGGTGTTCATCTAGTTTTTAAGAACAGCTCTGAATTTATACTGCTTTGCTATCACTTGGCTTTCTTGGATAGAATGGAATAGAACCGAAGATGCATTTTCGCCTTTGTGCATAGATACTAGTTTCTACTAATTATCTCTGAAGTAAATGTGCTTTTTTTTTTTTTTTTTTTTTTTTAAATAGGGAATCTGAAGATACTGCTCTGTTATTACTTAAAGAAATTTATCGAACAATGAACATTAGTCCAGAACAACCCCAGCATTGATCAGATTTCATTTTTACTGTGTGAGTTTAATCCTTATCGTATGTATAAATTCTGAGTGTTTGCATTCTGAAGATGTCATTATGGAGTTGATGTTAACTATGACTTTCTCTTGACTTTCTGGTTTTTTTTTTTTTTTTTAAATTCATAATAGACACTAAGGGAGGGAATTGGTTTGCAATGTACTTTTGACCTGTATCTTTCTAAATCTGCTTAGAATTTTATATTTAGTTTCTTTTAAAAATTTATAGGAATATCATTAGGAATTCCTTTGTCTGTATGTCATAGAACCCAATTCATAGAACCTTAAAGTAATAGAGGTTTGTTTTTCTTTTGTAACAGGAAGTGTTCCTTTGTTGAATGATGCCACCAGGCACCCAGACTGGTGGCATCATTCCACCTGAATGTTGACTCTTGCTGATTGTAGTTATAAGATGCTCCTATAGTTCCAGACATCCTATCTACATTCACAGCTTGAGTAAGGGGGAAAATAGATGATATAGGTCATGTCTAGCCCTTTTAGTTAGGGAAGCAAAAGAATGTTCAAAAATTTAATTGTACCTATTGCTTGCTAGGCCTGTGTACTGTGTCTCATGTCTCTCTTCTCCCCAGTCTGTATGAAAGATTATAGAAGTGATGTTTTTACATGTCCCCAATCTAAAGAGGTAAGGGGAGTAATCTGTGATAGATTACTCAGCCTGTACGTTGGCCATGTTCTGTCTTTGCAGCTATCTTCCTGAGACAGCAGATACCTATTTTTCCTCACTAGATTCTGCATCACTTTTGGAAATAGGTAATGGCTTTTTATAGAGTTAGACATTTAAAAACCTTTGAAAGAGAGTAAATACAAAGTACTAAGTCTAAATTACTGAAGTCAGGGGCCAACAAGTGGAGTAGTGGTTAAGGCTTTAGATTCCCACATGGCTAACCGCATTTCAAGATCTGGACCCAATGACTTTAAAACCATGCCAGATGGAGGAGACTGGAAGTAAAGGAACTGTGGCATGGCCATCCCCCTTGGAAAGGGGGTGATTTCTCACTTTCCCTCTCTGTTTCTCTTTCTCTCTGGGGACTGAATGTGCCCTATGGCAGAATCCTTCTAAATAAATAAATAAATAGCTAAAATCAAAAGTAGTTCCTAGGATTTTTTTGGTTTTCTTTCTTTTTTTTTTAATTTAGAGGTTTTGCTATAGGGCATGTGTACTTGCCAGAAAGAGACACAGAGAGAGAAAGCGAGAAATCACCCCCTGAGGGGATGGCCATGCCACAATCCCTTCTCCTCCATTCTCCTCTTGGGATTTTGGGCATGCATACACACATGCCTGGTCTGAGTTTTTTTCTTTTTTTTAAATAATTTTATTTAACTTTATTTATTTATAAATACATACAGACAGACCACAGAGGGACAGAATGAGAGAGAGAGAGAGAGAGAAAGAGAGAGAGAGATTGAAAGTGAGAAAGCAAACTGCCAGGTCCGGGACTCGAACCACAGTCAGCCATGTGGGAGTCCAGTGTCCTTAGCCACCACACCACTTGCCAGCCTCCTGGGATGAATTTTAAGCCACTGAATCCAGGACTTGAACTACCGGTTCACTATGTTGGAGTCCAGTGACGTAACTATTACGCCATCTGCTAGTCCCACATTTTTTGTTTCTTTTAATGGTAAGTGGTAAATGAAGATCCCTTCATCGTTCACCTTCTCATTTTACACAGGTAAACCCCTTTTACTAGTATTTTCTTAGGGATTTTTTTTTCTGGGTACATTGAGGCAAATATGCATACTAAAGCTAACTTTAGAATTACTAGTATACACTTGTCATTTGAAGCCACAGACAGGGTATGCTTACCTAGAAGAGTTGTGTAGGTGGAGAAGGATGAGCTTCTGTGAAATAAAGGAAGACCCAAGGAAGCTGAGGAAAGATTTTTTAAAGGGGAAAGTATGCAACCATGTAAAATGGTGCTGAAAGGGGAGGTAAGAGAAGGAACAAGAATTGACTACTCTTTTTCAGGAAGAAGACAGAGGATATCATTGGTGACCCTGACTAAAGCTTGTTCGCTCACTCTTTTTTTTTTTTTTTTTGAGAGTTTTTGCTATAGGGTGTGTGCACTCACTGGAGAGAAAGAGACAGAGAGACAGAAAGTGAGAAATCATCTCTCAGGGGGATTGGCCATGCCATAATCCCTTCTCCATTCTCCTCTCAGGATTTTGGGCATGAATGCACATGCGATGGCAGGAGTTTTAAGCCACCCGGTCTGGGACTCGAACCATTGTTAACTACTTAGGAGTCCAGCGATGTAACCATTACACCATCTGCTGGTCCCATACCAAAGCTCTCTTGGTGTCATGGCAGGAGTCAGAGTGAACCCAGTATGGGATCAGAGAGGAAACAGCTTTGCTGTGGAGGGTAACAGAAATAAGCCAAAGGAGGATACTTTAGGGTATTAAGGTGTATTTCTTTGCCAATGAGAATGATTCAGTTTTGAGAGAGAAACTGGTCGTGAAAGGGGATAATTGCTGGAGGAAATATTTGAAGAAGCAGTGGGGTGTGGGGCCTGGGCAAGGTGGAGACTTCAGTTTTTAAAAGAAGGGATAGATACATCTTCCATTGTTCTGGATGAAGGGAGAGCATGAGTACAGATAGGTGAGTAAAGTTGATGGTGGAAAAAGGAAACATTCTCTAGTTACTTCACTTTTTTCTAAAGTGTGTAGAGAGGTCATTGGTTGAGAGTTAAGTCCCAGTGGAGGGCTTGTGATTTGAGAAAAAAGTTGCAAGTGTACTGTTCTCAGAGTGTGGCAAAAGAGAATTTACCAAAACTGCAGGACTGTGTTACACGTTTGAATATCGATTTGATATTTTGTTTATAAATTTGAAGGGAAGGGACCAGCAGATGGTGCAGTGGTTACATTGTGGACTCCCACGTAGATGACCATGGTTTGAGTCCTGGACCTGGTGGTTTAAAACTCAGGCTGGGCTCACAGTGTGTGACTGCCCAAGATCTCGAGAGGAGAATGGAGGAGAAGGGATTGTGGCATGACCATCTCCCCTGAGGGGTGATTTCTTGATTTCTGTCTCTCTGTGTCTCTCTGGTGAATGCACATGAATGCAAAAATCTCTTTAAAAAAATAACTGGGGGCCGGCAGGTGGCATGTTAGTTAAGGATGCTGGACTCCCTCCCACGTGACCGACCGAGGTTCGAGTCCTGGACCTCGTGGCTTGCTTTCTTTCTCTCTCTTTCTCTCTCACTCACTCTCTATCCCCTCTCTATCAAATTAAAAATTAATAAATAAATAAATAAAGTTAAATAATAAAATAATTCTTTAAAAAAATTTTCAAGTAAAGAGAGGTTGCACAATTGCCTGACTTTTCTCTGGCCTTTTTCTTCTACTAGAGTAAGATGCAGAGTAAGCAGGTCTTTGAGTTTACCAGGGCTAGGGTTTTGAATTTGGGATGGAAACAGATTCCTACTTTATATAAGATGGCAAGGGACATCCTGATTGGTGAAGTGTCATTCTTGTAAGTGAACCAGGTGGATATCTAGGGAAA